AATCTGTCCGTATCCAAATTAGGCAGACAGGGAAGTACGTGAGAGCATAAGCCTATTAGTAGGTAATATACAAATGAATTAGTTGGTAGGAAGACAGGTAAGTTGATACATAAATATATAGGCAACTAAATAAATAGAAAGATTGATAAATGGATAAGTAGATAGTAAATACAAGGAGATAGTAGGTGGGTAGATAAACCAAGGAAGTTCGAGGGCAGGCAAGTAGGTGGCTGGGAAGGTGGCTGGAGAGACCAATAGGCAGGAAGTAAAGACACAGATGTGCTGCTCAAGGTAATGAGAGTAGAGAACAGAAACTATCTGCGGTTGGGTCGGGCGCCAGGCTTGGAGCCAAATGGAGTATGGAGTAGGTGACTGGTCAGCCCGGGAAAACCCATGGGGGAAGTGCCAACTTCCTGGTGCAGGTGATTCTCCTTCTGTGGTTCCTAGGGTGATGGCAAAGTGCGTCTGGCTGACTTGAGAAGCCACCCAAGGTAGAAGGACAACTGTCATATGCCAACATGTCTCTTTCAGGAGGCAAGGAGGCTAGGCTCCCCCATAGGAGCAGGACGAGGTTGGGAACAGGAGGGACACGAGTGGGAAGGTGAAGTCCTTTCCTCTCTGTGGCCACAGCTCCGGTGGCTCTTATCCTAAGGGCCAAAGGGGGAAAAACGCTGGAGGAAGAGGTTGGCAGCTTGGGGTGTGTCTCTCCCTTCCCAATAAATCAGGCAGCATCCTAAAGGGGGCCTTTGTTCTATTGTTCCTAGAACAGAGTTCTCGAAGGCCCAAAACAACAAAGAAAAGCCAAAGAAAAAATCATGTATAAAACCAGTGGAAGAGGTGTCCTAGAGCCTCGGGGAAAGCATGCCCAAAGGGCACTGCTGCCCTCACTCTGCTAACAAGCCCAAGGCCAGCTACATCTGCCCTCACCCAGTCATCCTTCTGCTCACCTGCAGTCTGTGGGTGCCCCAAACACCACCTCAAGGCCAACGAGTTAGAATCAAATTTCCTCTTGCCAGAAACGCATGTGCTTTACATTAGATGAGGTCACACCGAATCCTCAGAACACCACTCTGGGTACTATTATTACCTCCATTTTTTAGATGCGGAAACTGAAGCCCAGAGGAGTCCCAGGAAGTGCTCACAGCCATACCCTTTGGAATCAGGAAGTCACGACCGGAATTCAGACCCTCTGAGGGCACAGCCCAATTCCCCAATGTACCAATCTGAGGGTGGGGGCCACACTGACTCATTGCTCAGATGTCCACAGAACCCAAGCACTCCGCACTGTGTTTTGCATGACATGAGTGTCTAGAATCTAGATATTATGTGGGGCTCCCAACGAGACTACAGACATGATTGTTTTCTCAACTCCTCCAACTGCTGGTTTAATTCTTCCTGGTCCAGTTCTCCTTGCTGTTAAGCATCCTTAGAGTTATTTGTCTAAAGTCAAGCACTTTCTTAGAAAGTTTTCCCAGCTGCCCTTTCATTTAGCCCTGACTATAGCCCTGGGAAGTTTATATCATCATTCCTGTTTGGAGATGAAGAAACTGAAGGTCAGACTGATTTAGTTACATGGCCAACGTCACACAGTTTGTATAGAACAGACCATGGCCTCAGACCCAGGGCAGTCCAGCTTCCAGCTGGTTCTTTTCCATCACTGCATCCTTTCCATTTTCTGGCTTTGGATAACCCTTCCAGAGGTTGTCACCTACTGTTGACCAAAGAATGCCCAAGTGTTTGCTCCGATTCCCCAGTGAAGCCGCTGAATTCTGTCAGGACCAGGTAGGTTGTTGGGCCTCCCCCCGAGCTTTCCTGGGGCTGGATGCGCACTTGGAAGTCAAACTCCAAGGCTGCATCCCCAGAGGTGGGCTTTCTGCACCGTTGCAGCTGACGTGCTGCTGTATCAGACGATGCCTTCTGAATCATCAGGCTGATTTCAGTTTGAAGCAGCTTAACCTGTTTTGGGTGCTTTTACGGTATTCCTTTGGGTTGTTAAAAGAGGCAGCCAAGCAGAAAAGGCAGCAATAGCTCTGGAGTTGAGAGATACAATAACCCTCCTCCCTGGGCTATGACCTGAGGCAAATTACTTAACTGCTCGGTGCCTCAGTTTACTCATCTGTAAAGTGAGAATGATGGCAATACATAAACTATCCACCTACCCACCCACCTACCTACTCACCCATTCCCCATCCACCCACCCACCCACCCATCCCTCATCCACCCATCCATCTACCCATCACCCATAAACCTACCCACTCACTCATCCACCCACTTATCCATCCATCTTTTCATCTACCATCCATCTACCTATCACCCATCACCTTATCCACCCACCCACTCATCCATCCATCCATCCATCCATCCATCCATTGATCCATCTATCCAACATTCAACAAATACATACTGCACGCCTATCCTATGCCAGACACCATGCTAGGCAGTTGGGATGCATCTATAATCAAAACATAGATCCCTGACCATGTGGAACTTATTTCCCAGTGGGAGAACCAGACAATAAACAACAAGCATACAAAAGTAAAATACACAGAAGGTGAAAATATCCATCTAGGAAGGGGGCTCAGAGTGTGGAGGGGCAATTGCAATTCTAAATGGGACGGTCTGGGTAGGGCTGGTTGAGAAGGTGACATCTGAGCAAAGAGCTGAAGGACGTGAAGTGTTTGGCCAAGAGGATATCTGGAGAGGAGTGTTCTAGGTGGAAGGACCTGCAGGTGCAGAGGTCCTGAGGGAGAGAGCATGCCAGGCCTGTCCCAGGAACAGCCAGAGGCCAGCATGGCTGGGGTCTGAGCAAGCCGAAGTGGGTGACTAGAGCAGAGTGGTGATGACAACCAGATCGTGAAGGGCATCGTGGGCCATTGTCTGGACTTAGCTTCTCTTCTGAGTGACATGGGCCCAGTGCAGGGTTTAGAGCATTGAAGGGTGAAGAGCCTTATAGGGTTGTGGAGAGAGTTACCAAACTTCACATGATGACATCCTTTTTTGAAGCTGCATTGAAACTGAAGTCAGTGCCCTTTATTTATAAACCACAGAATTCTCTTTCCCATTCTTCGTCCCTCCTGAAGGCTGCTCCCTCTCTGCTTACACCGCCGCTGCACACCTGCCTCAGCCTGTGTGGAGCCTCGAGCCCTGGAGAACAGCTGTCCGGAGGACAGGAAGGCAAGAAAGAGACCTGTCCTTCTCTGTCTTCCAGCCTCCCAAAGACCATGCAACCCGGAGCCCAGTTCCCTTTCTAGAGTCACGTGGGATCAGAAATAAAAATATTACACCCCCAGGGAGGAAACACAGTTAAATAACAGGAACCAGAGAGAGCAGAGGGAGGGGCAGAGGTGTCTGAAGGAGCTTGCAGTTTGCAGGGGGGAGGGCAGTATGTCTAGGAGAGAGCAAGGCTTTGACTTCCCCCAAGCTTGGCCTCTGTGTCCTCCTGGTTCCCTCCTGCCAGACCACCACATGGACTGCAGGCACTCAGGTTAAGAAGTCGGGGAGATCATTCAGATGTACAAATGCCCCATTTCCCTGCATGTCTGTTAGGAGGAAGAGAGTAAAGGATGTGCCCAGGAGACCATCTGGTGGGAAGGTAACCACAAGGAGAGCTAACCCCATGCAAACATGTGTCTTGGCAGGAGAGTTGGAGAAATAACTACACCACCTTGGTACCAAAGCAAGACCATCAAAAGGCTTTTTCCCCTTCAAGGCTGGGTTAAAGGTAAAAGCTTGTCTGTCCTAAAATCCTGCCTCCACCACTTCCCACTGGGGCACCCGCGTTGTGTCACCTCTGAGCAATCTCTGTCTTCTTTATGTGGGAAATAAGGATGGAGATCAGCGAAGGGCTCAGGATAGATGTGAGAACTACCCAAAGAGGTGTTGGCGTGTACTTAGGCAGTACCTGGCACACGGTGATACTTAAGCAATGTGAATCACTGTTATTATCTCAAGTGTCCAAGTTACTCTGATACCAAAAAGGAACCAAGAAAGACTAGGAATTTATGATGCCAAGTCATAAAATTGGTAAAGCACAGGTTTGCATAGAGGAGACTGAAAAAACACATGTCTTTAGGAAGAAGGTTGTTTGCAACAAAGAGAACCTCTTTGTAACTCTGGGAAGGAAGACCTAACACATTTGAGGAGCCAAGGCTGTGAGTGAAACAGCGTGGTGTAGGCTTGCTTTTTCTGATTTAAAATGCACCAAGTGTCATTAACACTCTTTAAAAATAAGACATACTCTTTCTGATGAGTTCCTATTCCCTGTCTCGCTCTCTCTTTCTCTCTCACTCTTTCCCCCACTTTCTTTCCCCTACTCTCCCTTTCTCCCTCCCTCCCTCCTCTCCGTCTCTGTCTCTCTCTGTCTCTTTCTATTCTGTTTCTCCCTTCCTTTCTTTGGCCCTGTCTTTCCTTCTGTTTCTGTTACTTTCCATGACACAGATGCACATACATAGAAAGTCATGTGCATGCCCATGTATGCCCGCACACATACACGCACTCGTAATTGCACAAACATACCCAATGTATGCATGTACACCTACTCACATCCTCTGCTCTCCAGCACTTTGGCCCCTCCTGTCTGTGGCACATTTCTCCATCACTGAAGCACACTGATTATGCCTGCATCTGTCTTCCCTACTGAACTGGGAGCCTCTTGCTTGCAAGACCTCTCTGTCCATCTGTGGCTTCCCAATGCCCAGTACAGTGCCTGACACATCAAGGCAGCTCAGAGAGTAAACCAAGTGGACATTTGGCTGCATGTCTCTAGCAGGGTTTTCTCTTTAGCAGAGTGGGAAGTATGCTGCATGCTTCCAGCACACCCATCATCATAGATTGAGTTCTCCAAGCCCTTGCTGCTCCTGTCAGCTCCACCAGAAGCCCTGATTCCTGTCCTGGTCCGCCTGCCCATCTTGGAACAAGACTTTTCTTTCAGAGAGGAAGAAAAGTCCTTGAGGTGCCTAGGGCCAGTCATTTCTCCTGGAACAAAGGGGATGTCAACTTACCACCATGGTCCTTGTAGCTGGGGTCCTTCTCGACCACTGGACCCTGCAGCTCACTCCAGGCCCATTCCAAGAGGCCCAAATCTGGGTCTCCTTTCTGCAGCAGGGTCAAGGAGATCTTCCTGGCCAAAGCCTCACCATCAGGCTCATGGAGCAGGGCATAGTGATACTCCCTGGAGAGAAGCTCCTCCTTCAACAGGTTGTCCAGGAGGGCCTGCACCTGGCTTGGCTGATGGCTGGAGAGCAGCATCCGGACCTGAGTCAGGATGGTCTGGAAGTTGTTCATGGCAGCACTCAGAGGAGGGCAGCTTCCCTGGGGCCAGAGCCTGGGATTTCTGCTCACCGGCCTGCAGCATCCAAAACATGAAGTGAAAAACAGGATGAGGAAACCTCTGCAGTTTATTGCAGTTTATTCCTGCTTAGGAAGATTTCCTCATTTGCATTGTAGGCTGGGGCTCCTGGTGAATGGTTAGAAATAGGTTCTTGGGTGGATTCCGACCCCACAGATCTTTGCAGGTACCACCAGTGTGCACCTGCTAGAGAAGCCCACAGCCTTGGGGATTCCGTTTTCTGTAATCTGGTGTTTGCTAAAAAGGAGGGAACCTAACTCTTTGAGGACCTCTGTGGTGTTTTATTGTAACAAGAAGGCAACTGGGGGCATTTGGGTTTGGAGCTAATCAGCTTGGGTTCAAATCCCAGATCCACTGCTTGCTAATTACATGCCCTTGGGCAAGCCACACCAGCCTCTTCTAACCTCTATTCTTCCATCGGAAAAGGCAAAGTGATAACAATAGTACTTACCTCCTAGTACTTACCTCCTAGAATTGTTGGGAGGATTAAATAAAATGATGTCTGTAGAAAACCTTCCACTATCTACAATATGATAAGAGTTTGATAAATATGAGCCATTATTTTTATTGCCATGATTGTTATTATTAATTAATCATCAAACAACTCTGTGTCATCTTGGGTTTAACCTCACTAAACTTCAGGCTCCTCCTCTTCAAAATCTCCTATTAAAAGTAATCCAATCTCATCTAGTTTTCTTGAGGATTAAAAGAGACAATGCATTTAAAGGGCTTAGCATTTCGAAATAAGCCAACCAGAGAAGGATAAATACCACATGATCTCACTTATTTGTGGAATATAATGAACAAAATAGGCTGATGAACAAAATAGACCCAGAGACATAGAAAGGAGTACGGTTCAGACTGACAAACCTCAGAGGAGGGTGGTGGCAGGGGGGAGGGAAGAGATAAACCAAAGAACTTATATGCATGTATGCAGAACCAATGGACATAGACAACAATGCTGGGGGGGGGGGGGCGGTAAGAGGAGGGTGTCAATGGGGGAAAAAGGAAAAACATCTGTAACAAAAATAAATAAATTAATAATAAAATAAGTAAATAAATAAAAATGAAGGGCTTAGCATTTATTTGACCTAGTAAGCATGTAATGAACTATACACTAATATTATCCCCAATTTACTAATGCACAAAACAGGTTTTGCATAGGAGTCGGTCTCTTTCAGGATTTTACTCTAAAAATCCCCAACCCAATTTTTTTTTTTTTTAAATCATAGCTGACTGCTCTCCCTGCCCATTCTGAAACACACCTGTGACCTTGTTTCCTCTCCTAGGTTCAGCTTGACCATCTTTTAGATGGGACTGTTTGCATTCGCTCATTTAAATGTGACAAATGATTGTCATTTTCAGTATGGATGAATGGCTCTTATTGGACCAATTCTACCACAGAGAACAACTATAAACTCTGGGGGAAAATATGAAAAATAACTACCTGAAGGCACTGGAGAGTGACCAGAGAAGGCAGATACTAGAAGGGAGTCAATTTGTGGAAGACAAGAATATCACTGGAGAATTCTCAGCTCACAAGTGTAGTCTGAAGGTAGGTCACAATTACTACTGTGCTGGGCAAGTAAAACTCTGTTAAAATATACAAAGTGTTAACTGCTCTAAATGTTCAGACGACAGAATTTGGTGTAACAATACCTGCTGGAAAGCAGGGATAGAAATTCAAAAAAGGAGAGAGACAGAGAGAAGTTGCTTCAAATGTTATGTATAACATTTATACACAAGAGGTCAGCCCAGATGTCTAGCTGACCTCCAAAGCATCTATGTACTTATGATCAGACTCCAAACAGCTCAGCTAAGGCTAAAGGTACTGAACTGAGATTTGAGTTGCAATATACCATGGGAGTGGGGAGTGGGTAGGGGACTGCATTTGATGCCAGCCAAGTTATGAGCCTGCTAAAACAACAAAGAAACGAACACTGTTCCTATTATAACAGAATCTGGAGTGTTTACAATCTTTCATTCATGATGTACAGCATACATCCAAAATTACTTGACTATAAAGAAACAGGAAAAAGAGCCCTGGCCAGTTTGGCTCAGCGGTTGAGCGTCAGCCTGCGGACCAGAGAGTCCCGGGTTCGGTTCCCACTAGGGGCATGTACCACAAAAAAATTAAATAAATAAAAAGAAAAGAAACAGGAAAAAGAAAGTGACAATCAATAAAAACTGACCCAAAGATGACCCACATGTTGAAATTAACAAAGATTTTTAAAGCAGTGACTATAACCATGAGTGAAAAAAGACATAAAAAATGTAAAGGAAAATATACTCATAAAAATGAAAAGATAGGAAACTTCAGCAGAAAAATAGCAATTATTTCAAAATTAACAAATAAAACTGATCAAAGTGAAAAGTACAATATATCAAATTTTAAAAGTCACTGGATGGCATTAACAGGAGATTGAGCAATGGTAAAAGAAAAAAACTTTAAGATGAAACAATAAAAATTATTTGACATGAATAATAGAGAGAGAAAGATGGAAGAAAATGAACTTCAAGACTCTTTGGAGCAATGTCAAAAGATCCAGCTTATACATATTTGAAATCACAGGAGAAGAAAGAGAAAGGAGCAGAAAAACAAAATTTTAAAGAAATAAAGCCCAAAACTTCTGTGAAGCGTAGTAAACTCTAATCAGGATAAATACAAGGAAACTACACGTAGGCACATTATAGTCAAACTGCTGAAGACCAGATCAAAACAACATATCACATACAGGAGAGCATTAGAAACTGTTGAGGCCAGAAGACAGTGTAACAGCATCTTGGAAGAACTGAGAGGAAAAGAAATTATCAGTCCAGATTTCTAAATTCAGTGAAAATATCCTTTAAAAATGCAGAAAAGAGAGATATTTTCAGATAAAAGACAACTAAAAGAATGTGTTGCAGCAGACCTACATGTCAAGAAATGCCGAAGTAATTTATTTATGTGGAAGGTAAATAATACCAGTTAGAAACTCAGATCTATGGGGATGATTGAAGATCAATAGAAAGAGTAATCTCTGAATAAATATTAAAAATTGGTTTTTCTCATTTAAAAACATAATTGCTTGCCCTGGCCAGTTTGGCTCAGCGGTTAGAGTATTGGCCTGCGGTCCAGAGAGACCCAGGTTCGGTTCCCGCTAAGGGCATGTACCTCAGTTGCAGTTTGTCCCCGGCCCTGGTTGGGTCATGCGGGTGGCAGCCACTTGATGTGTCCCTTTCACGTTGATGTTTCTCTCTCTCTCTCCCTCCCACTCTATCTGAACAAAAAGCAAAAAAATGTCCTCAGGTGAGGATAAAAAAACAACTACATAATTGCTTAAAGCAAAAGTTATAGTATTGTCTTGTGACTTTTAAATCTATGTATATATAATACACATAATGATTATAGCATAAAGGATGGTTGGACTTATACAGTTGCAAGGTTTCTATGTTTTATATCAAGTAGGAGTACTAGAAGATGTACATTATAATCCCTTGGGCAACCACTAAAACATAATGGAAAAGGGTATAACTAAACAGCAATTCGAAATTAGTACAGACTTTTAAATGATATGGACTCTCAACTCTTGGTTTGAATAAGCAATTCAACAAGATCACAACATTATGAACTTCGATCATAAAGGCAGAAGGTGAAATCCCGAAGCTCTTCTCACCTAACGAAGTATTGATGCTTTTAAGCAGAGATGTCAATGTAAATATTATTCCCAGGGCAGCAAATTATCAATTAAGATCATTGAAATTGCATAATTAATTTTTAGGCATTAAAAATTGAATTCACAGGGCTAATCAATAATTTTTGCAGGCTGCGCGTCTTAAGACTTCTTTGTACAAATAATACTTTCAGGAATAGTTTCATTATCATAAAACAAAGCTTTGCATTTTTACACAGGTCTTCTCTCATAACAGGAGAATGAGATGGGTACTTGTGCAGATGTTCTCAACTTTATCAGAACTAATTTGTGACGCAGAACAGTGTTTGCTTTACTGCAGTTAGAGGGGAAGAGGACACTTTCACCCACTTTTCCCTCTTTCTGAGTTTCTAGTCCCAGCAGTTAGAAGACCATGCAGTTTCTTGGACAAAGCAGTAATGTTCATCAATTAGAACTGAGAGAAAAAGGAGATTTGAGGAGCTTAAAATTTAGGAGTTAGGAGGAGCCATAAGAGAATTTTCACAGATGAGATAGATGTCATGGAATCTTCAGCCATGGCTGTGGAGGAGCTGGCGGGAGGTTGCCGGGAGGGATGAGGAACTTGTTTTTTGTTTTTAAGTGAACAATACACACAAAATAATGAGTTCATTTATTTATTTTTTCTCACGTAAATTTTTTTTTATTTGTTACAGATGTTTCTCCTTTTTCCCCCCACTGATACCACCCTCCCCCTCCTCCCCGCCCTGTCCCCAGCTTTGTTGTCTATGTCCATTGTTCATGCACACATGCATATAAGTTCTGTGGTTTATCTCTCCCCCACCACCACCTCTCCTGGGGATTGTCAGTCTGTACCCCACTTCCACGTCTCTGGGACTACCACGTTCCTCAGACTGTTATGTTCATTATATTCCACAAATAAGTGAGATCATGTGATATTTGTCTTTCTTTGCTTGGTTTGTTTCACTTAGGATAATACTCTCCAGGTCCCTCCATGTTGTCTCAAAGGATAAGAGATCTTTCTTTCTTACAACTGCATAGTACTGCATTGTGTATATGTACCACTGCTCTTTTATCCATTTGTCTACTGATGGACATTTGGGTTGTTTCCAGATTTTAGCTAATGTAAACAGTGCTGTCAACTTACACCATACACAAGAATAAACTCAAAATGGATAAAAGACTTAAATGTGACTCATGAATCCATAAAAACCCTAGAAGAAAATGTAGGCAACAAAATTTCAGACATCATATGCAGCAGAATTGTCACTGATACATCACCTAAGGCAACAGAAACAAAGGAGAAAATGAACACATGTGACTACATCAAACTCAAAATCTTCTG